GGGGGGGGGGGGAGGGAAGAGGCCTGGCACTGGCTGCACCAAAGCACAGGATGCGGGAAGGAGGTCTGTCCGGCGCTGGCTGCACCAAGCGTCGAAGAGAAAGGGAAGAAGCGTCCGGCGGCCGCAGCACCAGATTCCGTGGATGGGGCGCAGCAGGGGATGGTTGGGGGCACGTCGCCGATCGGCCGCTTCCTCCCAGGCTCATTTCTTGGAGCTCTGGGTCTTCTTGGGCAGCAAGACAGCCTGGATATTGGGTAAGACCCCACCCTGGGCGATGGTCACCCCACCCAGCAGCTTGTTGAGCTCCTCGTCGTTGCGGATGGCCAGCTGCAGGTGCCGGGGAATGATCCTCGTCTTCTTGTTGTCCCGCGCAGCGTTGCCTGCCAGTTCCAGGATCTCGGCCGAGAGATACTCAAGGACGGCAGCGAGGTAGACGGGCGCTCCGGCGCCCACCCGCTCGGCGTAGTTACCTTTCCGCAGAAGCCGGTGCACTCGCCCCACTGGGAACTGCAGGCCGGCCCGGGAGGAGCGAGACTTCGCTTTCGCTCGAGCTTTGCCTCCCGATTTCCCTCGGCCAGACATGGCGAGAAGACTGGAGTGCGGGTGGACGCCCGGAAGAGCTATAAGCCGAGCTCGGGCGCTCGCTTGCAGAAAGAGGTAGCCTTGTCTGGAGAAAGAGAGGAATAAAACATGTAACTGTTATAACAGGATCGGGGGAGGGGGGCGACAGAACGTCAGGACGCACCATGCAGGCAACCTACAGTGCTGACGCGCGTCCTCCAGCAACTCCCCCAGCCCAGGCTACTGACGCCGCAACACTGGAGCGATCAGGGAAACTGACTAGGTTGTAAACGCTACCGCTAACGAACTCTACGCAGGGATCCCTGTCCCCCACCGACCCTCACCGTTGGCCAGATTTGCCGCCTCAGCCGAGCACCACGCAACCCCCCTTGCTAGACAACCACAGCTGCAGTGACAATAACAAGCGCGAGATGCTGGAGGATATAAATCCAAGCCCAACCTGCCGACGGCTTTCCATTGGTGGGGATGAGAGCGAAGCCGAGCGGCGATTGGTGGGTATTCCGATCCCTGATTTGCATAGGAGCTCGCGTCGTCCATGTTCGGACTCGGATGAAGCTGGAACAGCAACAGAAACAGGCTTGGCCGCCTGCAAAGAGAGCTGCTGGTGAAGCATATTAATGTGCAGCAGCAGCAGCTTTGGGAGATGTGGGGGTCTTTGGCTCGGTGTGACAAAGGGATGCAACTACAAGCTGAGTATCACTGAGGTGCAACAGCCCTGTACAGTCAGTATTACCGCTGAACTCGATAGAAGAGGCAGCAACTGATCTACAGGCATTGAAAGTTCATGGTTGAAACGACATTCGAAGCAAGGCCTTCACTTTTAACCCCTATGCAACACCATCTCTCATAACAGATGCATCACCTGACTAAACGGGGCATAATTCTGTTACCTCTTTCTCAAAGAAACCACCAGCAGCTTGCTTTTAGAACCTGCTACTCAACACCTAACAAGGTGGGGCACAAGCTTTCCAGCTGTTGATCACTCTATGACTAAATTAGAAAAGTCTACTCTAATTAAGTTTGCAAGACTTTTGTGATGCAGGGCAAGGTAAATGCTGCCAGAGAAGACCATAGGGCTGGTGGAATCACGTAACTTTTGTGATGCAGGGCAAGGTAAATGCTAGTACCAGAGAAGACCATAGGGCTGGTGGAATCGCGTGCTCTTAGTGGAAACTTTCAGCTCCCAGTTGGGTCATGCAGAAACTATGAACGCTGGAGTCCTTGCAAAAGTTAAAAGATTTGACAAGACTTGTGATAATGTAACACATTTTACTCCTCCCTAGAAAAGTCCCCAAGGTTAGGTTGTATGAGGTATTAACTGCAGAACTCTCCCAAATTGGCCATTAAACAGACAGTGGAAGATAAGCTGTAGACCATCCTGTCTAATGTTGAATTCGTTCGAACAAAACATTAATAAGAAATTGAAATCCTTGCTGTAAGGTAAAGGTTCCCTTGCTCGAAAGCCAGTTGAGTCCGACTCTAGGGTTGCGGTGCTCATCTCCGTTTCAAAGCCGAAGAGCCAGCGCTGTCCGAAGACATTTCCTTGGTCATGTGGCCGGCGTGACTAAACACCAAGGCACATGGAACGCTGTTACCTTCCCACCGAAGTGGTCCCTATTTATCTACTTGCAATTTCTTGCTTTCGAACTGCTAGGTTGGTAGGAGCTGGAAGTAGAGACGGGAGCTCACTCCATCATGCGGCAACTCGAACTACTGATCTTCCACAGCCTGCAGTTCAGCGTCTTAACCACTTGAGCCACCGCAGGGACTACCGCCAAAACTTTCCATAGAAAGACAAGAATAGATACAGATCTTGGTGGCAGTGGTGGGACCATGTGTTTTAAATACACAAAAGACACCTGGGTAGAAAGGAGGAGGGGGGAAGATGCTTGTTAATCCTGCTGTACAAAAGCATGAGTGTCTATAATCCTCATGATTGTGTGTGGCGCAGGGGGACAAACGGCAGTATCAAACTGCTGTTCCCCTTCCCTCTTTTATACTTGTATCAGCACTTGAGGCAGTGGGAACCCAACTAAGACAGTTGTGTAAATATTGCAGTTGATGGAAGAAAAAAAAGAAGAGGAATGCTTCTGGATACAGACATTTAAGAGGCTGTATAGTTGGGAAAGGACTGGCAATAATGACTGCATTTAACTTTTGAGCGGTAGAAAGAGATACTCCTCTATGGACTACTGTGAGTAGTAAAGTACTCAGAAATTCCTGCCTGTAATGATCTTCTGTGTTTCTCTGGGCAGTTATTTTAAAAGTTACAGAACTGTTTTGGTTCTTCCAACAGGTGAGTTGGGTAGTATTTGCTTCATGTAGCCATTGCCTGAAGAGACAGAGCAAAGATCAGCTGTTTTATCTAGAACATAAATTACCAGGCAGGGAGAGAAACCACTTTCTTATCTTCTGTGGGTGGCCTACAGGGCACTCCAGCCACCCAGGAACCACAAATCAAAGGCTGTTATCCTGACACAGGCTGGAAGGAAACAAGGGAATATTTTTTCCCCCTGTGACAGATTCATGAGGAGACACCCATTGTGATAAGAAAGGGGTTTCATGCATGGATGAGGGTCAAATATTTCAGTCAGGAAAGGAAAACCCTGAAGAACTGTTTGCTGTTAATCAGCAGGCTGATGGTAATGGCATTCTTTCTGAGATCTTCATATACGAGCAACAGTATCTTCCTGAGCCTTTCTACCTCAACAGCAGCCATCGGCCCTTCTTAAATGTTGCTCACTGGTGCATATAACCTGTGAAAAATATTATTCCTAATTTTAAAAAAGGGGGAACTGCCCCCCCACTGACAAAAGAGGAAAATGTAGTACTAAAAAAAAAAAGCAGCACAGACGCTCTCCAAATTGCTTTCATAGTACTCAGAAACAAGTGGAGCAGAAAGGAACAATTCTACCCTTTAAAATATATGCAGCATCACAACCTTCTACCCAAGGAGGGCAATATGTCCCTTAACTGGAACTCTGGGAAGTTCTGCATCTTTGCTTTGCACAGGAGCAGAGGCCAGTTCCAGATGCCTGTTTGGGACATGGTAGAAAAAAGTCCCCCCCCAGTGTGGAGGAGACTTCAGGAGCTTGGGTAGGGAACAGCTCCCCCCCCCCCCAAATTCTCCACTATCACTATCCTTGGAATAGGAATTCTGCACCATTGACCAGAGTATATGCTACAGCAGGACATAAATTCTCCCCTCAGCAGGGTTCTATTTTTTTCCCACACACAAATGCATGCACACAGAGCCACCCAAAGAAAGGTGGCAAGCAAGTAAAGTACTTCACCCTTGTTTACTGTCTTGAGGGACGGTGACTTAGTGGCAGAGCACCTGCTTTGCATGTAGAAGGTCCCAGGCTCAAATAAAAGGATAAGGATGTGAAAGGCCTCTAACCTGAGACCCTGGAGAGCAGGTGCCGGTCTATATAGACAGTGCTGAACCTGATGTTTGCCTGTATATGGCAGCTCCATGTGTCCATGCAAGTCCTAGGATACCAAGTCTATGGCGACTGGAAAGAAGAATAAGTCTGTATTTCTCCAGGGAAACAATACAGGCAAGATCAGACCTCAGCACTGCAGTATATACTATATGTATGCTTTCACTGTAGAATGTTGTCCATACTTCATGGGCGTTTATGCAGTGGTTTTAGACAGGATTTTCCCAAAATGGTTTAAAGGGAAATGATATCTTCAGGCATGAATTGATACACCCTATCATGGTACAGTGCTTCTATCATCAGGAAATAAGTACAGAGTGAATGGAGCCAAATTTCTTACAATTTTACATAAGATTGCTCATCCTCCTACTTTGCAAGATATATAGATACAATCACAATGCTTCTAGGCTTTTGTTTCAACATAACATTGTTGAAAAGGCAAGTAATTAGGGCTCTCCAGAAGTTGTGTTTGGCCATATTCTTGGTTCAAACCATCATCTTTTATAAATTCTACCTAAGTTTATTTTAAAAAACTTAGAACAAACCCAAAATTTATATTATCATTTTTGAACACCAGCTTCAGAAGGAAAACATTTCCCACAAGGCAGAGAAAGCTCCTATTCTGCAAAAGAATAACTGTCTTCATTGCAGAATTTAAAATTGTGAATGTTTTTCATTCTGCTTACTTGTCTCCTTTGACAAAGAGACTGTAAAGCAGACTTCTGATGTAGTTAATTTTGTCCTCCCACTCCTTCAGAAAATGCTATGCTTAAAGTAACAACCCACAGAAATACTTGGTATTTCATACTATGAGGTTAATATTGAGAATGCCCTGTGGACATAAAGTAGGACAAAGCTTTCTTTCCATCATGTCAACCCTTGGAGATTTTTACCACTGATCCTAAATTGTAATTGCCTAAATGTGATAATGCAGTAGCTGCTGTCGTTACACCTTAATGGAGACGTTTCCCCACCAATATAGTTGATCCTTAGAAAAAATAAGAAACCATTACAGAATGCAAAATGGCTGCACAGAGACGATAACACTTGAACTCATTTAAGAACATACTGACATAACAGTTCCTTATTATTTTGCAACAGAAGCTGTCCGACATCAAAAGTGAGCTACTTTCTCTCTAGAAGAATTAGCAAAATCAATGCCAAAAAAGCATATCAAATGAGTACCAAAGCAAGAAACGTGACACAGAGAATCCAACTCAAGTGCAGTATTGTACGTAAAATCCACACCGCAACTTGCACTGGAGATAAAGTATTAAATGGTAAGTCTCAACTGCTAGACATCAGTAAACAGTCAGGAAAATCCTACACCACACTTCAAATTAGTAGAAACAACCAGATTTAAAAGTTCTGGGCAGCAAACACAAGTGTCAAGACTCTTTGGTTGGGTGGGCCTGTTATCTACTTGGGCATGAAGTCCAAGGGCCCACAAATTATTGATTTTTGCACTGCTTTGCAGAAGGTTCTCCCTCTTCCTTTTCTATCCCCTGGTTCATTACATTTATACTGGTTTTCCTGGATGCTGATGCTGCTTGGATGAACTGGCTGGACCACCTTGGTAAGCCATCATCTTCCTCTTTCTTAGGTTTGTTTGTTAACCAGTTCATCATCATTTTGCTACTTGCACTGACTTTGGTCTTCTGGAAAACACAAAACAAATGGAGAAATAACTAGTGAAATCAAAAGATTCAAAGGAATCAGCAGGCAAATTCAGTGAAACTGTATAAGCCACATGGCTTCTGGGAGCATTTCAAACTTTGTTAAAATAAAGCTATTGTATCAAGAAAAACAAACCTAGCATTTCCCCCCCAACATAAATTATGCACAGAGATCACCTTGCATTTCTGGAATGCATGCTGCAGAGAGGTCTACCTGGAGCCCTCCTTGTTAGGTGCCAGCCAGGCAACGACCTTTCTATTTTCATCAGCTCTTGGTTGAACTCTGCTTAGTTAGCCATTCTGTTCTTATTTACTTTTATTCTGCAGCTGATTGATGATTTTAAGTGCCATGAGTTAATATGACTATTGTGTGCTATTGTGCTGTAAGTTACTGTGGACAGAATTTTCTTCTAGAAAATGGGATATAAACATCTTTAATACAAAAAAAAATATGAAAATGGCTTTGTTGCCTTCTTAAAATATTAAAACGAATAGCTTTCTGTTCGAAGAGGGATGTTACAATCCTTTCCAGCTGTATCAGGGACTTTTCAAACCATCCAGGATAGCTTTTACAAAGGCTGATAAAAAGGCACAGTCTTTCTGGATACTAGGCAACCAGCCTGGCCACGTTGAACAGAGATGCAAAACACATGCATTCTGAACTTGCTGCCCCCTTTGTCTGTCAAAGCAAACAACAGAAACTGCTTCAGAGGGCTTAACTCAGTGATTAAGCATGTAGCAATCTGATGAAATATTAGAAAACAAATATTAAGAGTAATATGTCAGGAAGGGCCCTGACCTGGATGGCTCAGGCTAGTTGAGTTTTGTTAGATCTTGGAAGCTAAGCAGGGTTAGCCCTGGTTAGTATTTGGATGGGAGACCACCAGAGAAGTCCAGGGTCGCGATGCAGAGGCAGGCAACGGCAGACCACCTCTGCTCATCTCTTGCCTTGAACACCCCCCATAGGATCGCCATAAGTCAGCATTTTCCACCACCACCACCAATCAGGATAGTGTGACCATCAGATCTTACCTTCTTGAGGTCCAGTTGAATGGGTACGACGCATTCTGGTGTATTGTTTCGAGAGTTATTTACTACAGTTGAGACTGGGTGGAAGGCAAGATTCTCTATGGGGTGAATAAACTTAAGGGCTTCCTGTGTGGGTATTTCTGCAAAGTCCAACCATTTTCCAACAGCCTCATCCCCATCCAGAATAGCTGGCATCCTAAATGAGTGAAAAAGCAGATCTTAGTAGCGGACAGAAATGCCCAAACCACCATGTGTTAAGATTGTTCCTGGTTTTCAGTCATAAGCCATGGCAATAACCAGACTGCCAAAAACAAAAATCCAGAGATGATTTGTCATTGGAGAAGATAGCAAGGAACAGTAAGCAATTGCTATCTGCATGAACCTGCAATACACATGCACCAAGGTAACTTGGTTTCATAGTGCCTGAGTAACAACGCCATGCAATAGGCTTGGTGTAATCTGAAGGACTGCTTCCAGAGATAGCACAAAGAAAGTAATTTATGGTAAGGCTAAGACTTAGCACCTGAAACAGGCTGCTTATGTTCAATTGTTCTCCAAGGGCGCCTATTTGAAATAAGCAAAAAAAAAAGGTGGGGGGAGTGTATTTGATCTCAGCTATTTGACCTTCCTTTGAAGCTATTTATTCAGAGGGGAAAATACAACCACATTAGTACAGTAGTATATAGGGTAACAAGATGTTCAAGCCACATCACATAGATTCATGTTACAATTTGCTCTGCAACAAAGCACTGTCCACGTTGTCCCTTGCCTGTGATGGATGGAGCTCACGCTCTTAGACGCTTCTACTGTGATGATGGTATAGCTGTACAATGCTTCCTCTCCGTTAGGAGGTTCCCAGCAATCAAAAATACCAGCCATGGTGAGTAACCTCTGGCCACCTGGATCTTTATCTTCTATATCAGACTTGTTGAACTGGAAAAAGAAGGGACCACATTATTAAAAACGTCATATGTATAAAACACAGATATGTACATCTGTCACTTGGCCGCACTAAACTTCCAGTGAGACCGCAGGAGGAGGTACTCACACTGCCTTCCTATGTAGGCGCCATCCTATGTAGCCACTGCTAAAGGCAATCCTTACAGAACCAGTGCCTGAGGTTTCAGCCACTTACCAGGAGTTTGTATCCTATCCATCTTTTAAGGAGGAGGTGAGAACAATGTTTCAGCTATCTGGATTAGGACCTGAAGGGTGAGGAGGGAGCCCTATCCTTGCTTCACAACCCTTCATCCAAGCCACTGCTGCAGCTAGTTTTCTGCAAGCTGGATCGTCTCCCAGGCCCAAACACACTTCTGGTTCACATTTCACCAACAGTGGGTAATGAGGACTGGAATGGGGAACAAGTGGAGGCAGCTCCCCATCCTGTGACAAGAATGTTGTTAATAAACTGATTTTCATGTCTTTCCCCCCCCCAAGGGAGTCACTGATGCCACACGAGATACTGAAGATGGGCTGTGAGAAAATGATTGTTGGTCCTCTCTGTGATTTAACAAGCACTTCCACATGTTACTTTTTGATAGCACCACAATCAGCATCTTGTATATACATCCAAATAGATCTCATCATATATACAAGCTCCAGTCCTTTCAACATTTGTTACATAAAGCAGACCAATATTATACAGCAAGCATCAACTTCCCAAAGGTGTAGCCACTGCTAAAGGCAATCCTTACAGAACCAGTGCCTGAGGTTTCAGCCACTTACCAGGAGTTTGTATCCTATCCATCTTTTAAGGAGGAGGTGAGAACAATGTTTCAGCTATCTGGATTAGGACCTGAAGGGTGAGGAGGAAGTCCTATCCTTGCTTCACAGCCCTTCATCCAAGCCACTGCTGCAGCTAGTTTTCTGCAAGCTGGATCGTCTCCCAGGCCCAAACACACTTCTGGTTCACATTTCACCAACAGTGGGTAATGAGGACTGGAATGGGGAACAAGTGGAGGCAGCTCCACATTCCTGTGACAAGAATGTTGTTAATAAACTGATTTTCATGTCTTTCCCCCCCCAAAGGGAGTCACTGATGCCACACGAGATACTGAAGATGGGCTTTGAGAAAATGATTGTTGGTCCTCTCTGTGATTTAACAAGCACTTCCACATGTTACTTTTTGATAGCACCACAATCAGCATCTTGTATATACATCCAAATAGATCTCATCATATATACAAGCTCCAGTCCTTTCAACATTTGCTACATAAAGCAGACTAATATTATACAGCAAGCATCAACTTAAACCTGGCGTTTAAGAGGAAAAAGGTATAATTAAAGGTAGGCAATAGTTGAGCAACTTAGTTT